AGAATTGAGAGAGAGAGAGACAAACACACACACACACACAAAGAGGAGAGGGGAACTGCTGGGGCCGGCCCGTATTGAAGAATATGGCCGAATTTACCCGGGCTGGCCGTATATCGGCGTATAACACGCACACATCATTTGCCCCCTATTTTCAGGGGGAAAAAGTGCGTGTTATACGCCGATAAATACGGTAATTCAAGGTAGCAAACATACCTAATCCTCCTTCCTCTTCCTCTTTTCTCTATAACAACCCTGTGAGGTAGATTGGGCTGAGAGTTACTGGCCCAAAGTCACCCAGCCAGCTTTCATGCCTAAGGCAGGATTAGAACTCACTATTTCTTGGTTTCTAACCTGGTGCCTTAACCACCAGACCAAAGTGGCTCTCCTGATGTAATCCTAGGGATAAATCAGGTCAAGTGTAAACTAGTTCCTGTCCCCAGTACAGCATCATATAATAGGAATTTTAATTGTCTCCAAATGTAGACCAGTAGACAAATTATGCTACTTTGGTTCCTAAGTCATGCATTGATCCAACCTGATAAGTGTAAACTCTGAACTAAGATTTGGGAATTATTGTAGAATCACCACAATGAATCCCAAGGCCATTATTTTATGTACCTGGTGTAGCATAATCTCAAAATTACAAAATTACAGGTAGTCCTCAACTTACGACCATAACTGAGCCCTAAATTTCTGTTGCTAAGTGAAAAATTTGTTAAATAAATTTTGCCCCATCTTACAACCTTCCTTGCCACAGTTGTTAAGTGAATGACTGCAGTTGTTAAGTTAGTAATACTATTGTGAAGTGAATCTGGCTTCCCTATCGACTCTGCTTGTCAAAAAAGGTGATCACATGACCCCAGGACACTGCAAACTAGTCATAAATGAGTCAGTTGCCAAGTGTCTGAATTTAGGTCATGTGACCATGGGCATGCTGCAATGGTTGTAAGTTTGAAAAACGGTCATAAGTCACTTTTTTCAGTGCTGTTGTAACTTCAAATGGTCACTAAATGAACTGTTGAAAGTTGAGGACTACCTATGCTTTGGGCATGCCCCTCCCTCTCAGCTTAATCTACTTTACAAGACTGTTGTTTCAAAGCTGAAATAAGGAAATAGAAGAACCATATACAGAAGAGGACAGGCTGTTTAATGAAAAAAAATAAACAAAAGCAATAACTCATTCTACGCCAGTAGTTCTCAACCTTTTTAATGCCGCGACCCCAACCGGTCGTAAGTCGAGGACTAAACCGGTCGTACGTCGAGGACTAAACTGGTCATAAGTCGAGGACTAAACCGGTCATAAGTCGAGGACTACCCAACCGGTCGTAAGTCGAGGACTTTCCCTGCCCGGGAGCGCCGCGCATGCGTGGTTCCGTCCCCTGCGCCGGCCGAGGCGTAGCTGGCAAGCGGCAGAGATGGAGCAGGCCGACCACCAGCTGGCCCAGCCCAAGGGAGGTAAGGCACCCGCCGGAAAAGGGGAAAAAAATGGCGGACAGCCTTGCTTGGCGACCCCCGTGAAATGGTCGATCGACCCCAAATGGGGTCCCGACCCACAGGTTGAGAACCACTGATCTATTGTTTCTTGCCCTGCCTTCAGGTGCTTTGCAGAACAGGTTAAATATATATATTTAAAAGCATGTTGAGACCCTAGAACAGTGGTTCTCAACCTTTTTAATGCCGTGACCCCAACCGGTCGTAAGTCAAGGACTAAACCGGTTGTAAGTCGAGGACTAAACCGGTCGTAAGTCGAGGACTGCCCAATCGGTCGTAAGTCGAGGACTTTCCCTGCCTGGGAGCGCCACGCATGCGTGGTTCCGCCCCTGCGCCCCGGCTCCGCATCGACCGTTCGCCGTCTCTGCCTCGTCCGGCTGGTGGTCGACCGGGTCGGGTTCCCTCCATTCCGTGGGCGACCTTTTCCCCTTTTTTACCGCCTGTTTTTTTTACCGCCTGTCGGAACGAACCGCTGGGGGTACTTTACCAGCTAGCTGGGGTTTACCCCAGGGCTGGGTGTCCAACAGAACCACTGTTCTACGCAAAGGAGAATATTTGTAGCTCAGAGTTGATATGAGGGGTCCTTGGTGCTCTCTGAGCTTGCTTGTTTTCTTGCAGACATTTTGTTACCTAAACTAGATAACATCATCACTGCAGTTTGCTGTCAGTTTATATTCTAATTCTATAGAACATAATTCTATTCTATAGAATATAAACTGACAGCTAACCCCACTCCATACTAACACTGATGATGTTACCTAGTTTGGTAATGAAACGTCTGCAAGAAAACAAGCCAGCTCAGAGAGCACCAAGGACTCCTCAGTTCTTGCTCCCTTTTTCCAAAAGTCTTCAGAAATCTTTCTCCGCTGTCTCTCCTGAAGCTCTAGGAGTCTCAAGCTACAAATCAGAAAAGTCCATAGCTCTGAGCCAACCTGCCACGAAATGACTAGATGGGCCTTAGGCCTTTCTCTCCTTGCCACCCTCTTCTCCCCAGGCGATGTGTTATTACAGTACTGATCTACAGTGCAGGGCTGTTGTAATGTTTACAAATAGATAATAATCGTTCTGAACGTTGGGAAGCCCAGACAGCATTTAAAGCCAGGCATGGGGGGAGGGGGGGCAGAGGATTTGGGCGGGGGGAGAGGCTTTCACTAAGTAATTGAGTAATTTCTAGAGAAGCTAAAGGCAGTTTGACAGAGGAATGGCGATTTGCCTTTCTGAGAAACTGGACTGGCATTTTCCCAAAGGCCAGATATAGGTTACAATCAGCTACAGGTTTCCAACTAATTGACGGATTGAGCTCACGGCGGCCCCAATTTCTCTGCCCTCTCTCTCGCTTTCCTACACCCCACGATGAACCCCTTTTCTCCTGGGGGGGGCATCTCTCTATTCCCTTCATTCTCTTTTTTTCCCCTTCCTTCAAGCCTCCCCCTTTTTCTAGGGGTGGCCCTTCCTCCCCTCCCTGTCTTACTTGCCCCCGCCCTCCCCTTGTCCCGGTACCTCTCGGGAATGGCCGCTCCCCACGCCGATCTGCCCCCTTCCCGCCGATCCTGGCTGTGGTTCGCCCTGCAAAGGACACGCGTCTCCTCTCCCCAGCCCAGCTTCTGCAAGCGGCCATCGGCAACCACGTGCGAAGGAAAGGGCGGAGACTGGGCGGGGGAAAGACTCGGGAGCCCCTAGTGGCGGCTTTCGGGAATTACACCAGGCGCCCCCTCTTTCTGCTTTCGCAAGCGGCGCTCTCCTGGCGTCGGCGAGAGAGGCGTGTGACGAAGGCTCTCCGCGGACTCCCGCCCACGAGGGAAGCCTGAGATCCTGAGGCTAAGAAGGCGGAGGAGGAGCGGGCGCTCTCGGTGGGGGTCTCTCAAGTTCCAAGGGGTCCCAAGTTGAGACGCGTTTTTATTTTTGCTTGTCCTTTATTATGCTTCTTTATGTGTCCTTAGCTTCAGAATACAGGGAGTCCTCGACTTTCAGCAGTTCGCTTAGTGACCAGTTACAAGGCACTGAAAAAAAGTGACCTATGACCATTTTTCACACTGATGACCGTTGCCGCATCCCTGTGGTCACACGATTTACATTCGGATGTTTGACAACTGACTCGCATTTATGACGGTCACAGTATCCCAGGGTCACGTGGTCCTCTTTTGCAACCTTCTGGCAAGCAAATGGGAAATGGGAAGATCCGATTCACTTAAGCAACCAGTTACTAATTTAACAACCGCAGCAATTCACTTGACAACTGTGGCAAGAAAAGTTGTAAAATGGAGCAAAATTCACTTAATAAATTTCTCACTTAGCAACAGACATGTTGGCCTCAATTGTGGTCATAAGTCGAGGACTACCTGTAACAGAGTTGGAAGGGATCCTGGAGGTCTTGTCCAACCCCCTGCTCAAGCAGGAGACCCTGCACTATTTCAGACAAATAGTTGTCCAATCTCTTCTGAAAAACTTCCAGTGTTGGAGCATTCACAACTTCTGGAGGCAAGTTGTTCCACTGGTTAATTGTTCTCACTGTCAAGAAATTTCTCTTTAGTTCTAGGTTGCTTCTCTCCTTGATTAGTTTCCATCCGTTGCTTCTTGTCTTGCCTTCTGGTGCTTTGGAAAATAGGTTGATCCCCTTTTTTTGACGCAGCCCCTCAAATATTGGAACACTGCTATCATGTCCCCCCTCGTCCTTCTCTTCATTAAACTAGACATACCCAATTTCTGCAACCGTTATTCATACTGTATGTTTTAGCCTCCAGCCCCCTAATTGTCTTTCTTGCTATTCTCTGTCCCCTTTCCAGAGTCTCAAAATCTTTTTTATATTGTGGTGACCAAAACTGGATTCAGTATTCCAAGCGTAGTCTTACCAAGGTCCATGTACTGGATATTGGGGCACGGAGTCTCAGATACGGGGAGCAGACCTGAGCTGTATACATCCAGGCGAGCATGAATTTTAGATGGCAGGAAAATCGACAGCCAATCATCTCTAGGCGGGAGGGAGGACCGTGATCGATTCCTATGTCCAGTATGACGGTAAGCATTAGAGTTCATCACATTTTGGAAATCCAACTTACTTGATGTGAATGAAAGAGCACGAGGATTTGTTATAACAGTTTCTGAAAGCAGCCCTAGAAGATAAATACCATAGCAAACACAATATTTATTAGATATGTATCCCCCTTTTATTATTTTTATAAATAACTCAAGACAGTGAATGTGCACAATATTCATTTCTCCTATTTTCAAGTTATATTTCTTATTTCCACTCTCATAAAGTCTGATTAATATTTGTCAACCTGGATCATAGATTGGAGCCCTTTGCTTTGGCAATCCCCCCTCCCCAGATCTCATACCTCATTGGGCCCCCAAGCCAGAAGCTATGTAGATTTCCTTGGCTATCCCTTGCAAGATGAGTATTGCAACACATTAAGACAAAAGCATCTTGCCTCTGATTGGTGCTATTTTTTTTATTTCCCATAATGTGGGAGCCTTCAACAGGTATTGTTTAGAAAGCACGGCATATCAGCTAACTGTAGTACAGATAGTCCTTGACTTACAACCATTTGTTTAGTGACTTCTTGAAGTCAGGATGGCATTGACAAAAGTGACTTACAACCAGTCTTCACACTTACAACTGTTGCAGAATCCTTACCATCATATGATCAAGATCTGAGTGCTTGGCAACTAGCGTGTATATAACAACAGTTGTAGCATCCTGGAGTCATGTGATTGCATAGGTGATCTTCACAGTTGGCTTCCAACAAGTAAACTCAGTGGGGGAAGCCAGATTCATTTAAGAACTGTGTGATTCACTTAACCTTGCTTCCACTGCTTAGCTATGGAAATTCTAGTCCCAACTGTGGTTGTAAGTCAACCCTAACCCTAATCTGTACAGTCGTTCTTCCTGCATGGGGAAGACTGGTAATAGCAACTGTGTTCCCAAGACACTCACATAGGATGAAGATCTTGGGGAGAGCTTTAGGGATACACAGATTGTAAAGAAGCTGGGAAGCTAATAGAAGAGAGTCAAGCATGTAAGAAATGGAAGTCAATCTTCAGGATTTCAGTTCCATTCCTGCAACTCGCTGAAGGAAATCAGCTCCCCCCTGCACATGTTTGGTCTAGGGCGGTGGTTCTCAACCTGTACTCCATGGATCCCCTGGGAGGGGGGAGCACAATGTCACGGGGTCCATGAAGGCTTGAAGACATTTTATGATTTAAATCTTGAGTGACATCTTGGTGGTCTCTGGCTATGATTCATGGCCACAAAAAATATTAAAATGGTGCTGCCACAAAAAGGAGGGGGTCAGCTTATTACCAAAGCACCTGTAGACAGGGCAAGGAGCAATGGATGGAAGCTAATGAAGGAGAGAAGCAACCTGGAATTAAGGAGAAACTTCCTAACAGGGAGGACAATTAACCAGTGGAATAGCTTGCCTTCAGAAATTGCGTTCCATCACTGGAGGTTTTTAAGAAGAGACTGGACAGCCATTTGTCTCAAATTGTATACGGTCTCTTGCCAGAGCAGGGGGGATGGACTAGAACAAACATGTCAAACTCGTGATGTCATGTGACGTCATGAGACGTATCAGGACTGTTTTGCCATTGCGGCAGTGGGGTGGACGCGGCTTCCAGATGACGCATCCGGCCTGTGGGCCGGCAGTTTGACACTCCTGGACTAGAATATCTCCAAGGTCCCTTCCAGCTCTATTCTGATTGATCAAAGAAAAGGTTGAGAATCATTGATCTAGTGCAGGGTTAGGCAACCTTGACTCTTTTATGACTTGTGGACTTCAACTCCCAGAATTCTGAGTTTAAGTCCATGAGTCATAAAAGAGCCAAGGTTGCCTACCCCTGGTCTAGTGGATTAAGGCACCAGTCTAGAAACTAGGAGACTGTGAGTTATAGTCCCACCTCAGACATGAAAGCCAGCTGAGTAATTTTAGGTCAGTCACTCATTCTCTCAGCCCAACTCATCTCCCAGGGTTGGTACCAAATATGGTAACTGGGACCGCATGAATTAATATTACAATTCATGAATTGCATTCCGAACAGTAAGACAATGTAATTAATCATAATTGTATGTTTTCTGGGGTATCCACTATATTTTCAGTTGTAGTAACTTGATTTTAAATTGAAATGAAATTCATCTCTGTGAAATTCATATTTTATGAGCTGCCCAGAGTCTACTGGAGGACCACCTTAAGGCATTTCGTAAAATAAATAAATTAATGTCTAGTTTTTCAAAACAACCCTGCCTTTGATTTACAAAAACAGGTCATTCAAGATCGTTATTCCAAAGGTGGCAGAAATAAGATTAAGCAAGAGCATTATCAATCTATATCATTTCAGATATGGGAATAAGCTTAACTCTTCTTGATTTCCTTTGGTCTATTCCAAATATGATTAAATTTTGAACCAAACCCCAATTTCTGGGGAATGACAACATGTAATGGAGCTAGTTTTCTCTTGTTACTGGAGAACTGCTACAAATACTTCAAGATGCAATCCTTCTCCGTCCTCTTCCATTCTCCATTCCTACGAAAATGCAGAATTTTATTAGACTAATGTCTTATATTTTTTTTAACATCTGATCCAGTTGTCCCAGATAGTTCAGAAATTGTCTATCCGTTCGTGTGTATCATATGGCAATGATAGTCCAATGTAAACTTATAAAGCATCGAATTAGGGGAAAGTGATTTAGCTGGATTAGTGAATAACTCATCTCGAAGATGGTGGATTTGTGCTGTATTTTATTTCTTAGTTTTTGTTATCCTGCCTTTGTTATTTTTATAAATAACTCAAGGGGGGGAAACATACCTAATACTCCTCCCTCCTCCTGTTTCCTGCCTCACAACAACCCTGTGAAGTGTGTTGGGCTGAGAGAAAGTGATTAATCCAAAGTCACTCAGCTGGTTTTTCAGGTTTAAGGCAGAACTAAAACTCACAGCCTCCTAGTTTCTAGCCTGGCAGCTTAACCACTGGACCAAACTAGCTATCTAATATAGTCTTCTTGGCTTCCTGGCCAATCCAATATAGGTTTCTTGCTACATGACATCTAGCTTTGCATCTAATACTAAGTACCCAAACTCTAAATTCAGGAACTTGTTCTTATTCGTAGGTTCAGTATTACATGTGTGTTTGGGTTTAAATATGTTTGTACATTAAGAAGAAAAGAGAGGTTCTTCCTTCCAGCAACTTTAGTAAAATTGGTGGCCTAGATTTTTAGGTTGAATTGAATCAAACAATCGAGCAAAGATGAAAGAGAAATGAAAAAGAAAATCAGGGGTATTTCTGCCTTGCAGTCATCTTGAAAGTCCATTGTATCTTTTCACCAAATGTCAGCTGCTGTTTTTCCTATTTCCCAGATCTTTCCTTTTCCTATTCCTTTATTCGTAGTTGCAAATGTATGTGTCTTAATGCTCATATGTAACACAGGATGTAAGGGAGAGTGCCTGCCTTCCCCCCCCCCCCAGCTAAAAAAGTTTCTCCTTGGAGAAGTATTTTTATTTCTTAATTTCATCCTATTTTTATTTTGCCTTGCCCTTTTTGCTGTAACAGTTTTGGCTACCAGAATTTAAAAAGAGAAAAAAAGCTGCAGATGTATTTATTCTGTTTTATTGTGCATTATTCCA